GAGCTTTTGCTGAATTCACTGCCCCTGTTTCACTCTTTCATGCCTACCTGGCACCTCGAGTTACACTACAGGTTGCTCCCCTTTCCTTTTGTTTTGTGTTGGGTTTGGTTGTGTTGTTTTTTTTTGTTGGGGGCTTGTTTCGTGTTGTTTCTTCCCCTGTTCGGTTGCAACCTGGCTTGTAACTCCTATGACACTCGACCAAGGTGACTTGTGCACAACCTGCACACACAGCACCTCCACTCGTGCAAAAAAAACGCTGCAGCTAACTCGGGATTTCCAAGTGCTAGGTGCGCACATGCCTGTGATAATTGCAAATTACTTAAGCAGGTAGACATCTCGAACACAAACATCGAGGAAATCCAGGAATTCACCTTTGTGCACTGCACCAGCCTTTGTGACGTCAGACTGCCATACACATTGCATACCATACGAGTTAAGGCCTTTATGAACTGCGCTGCATTGCCAGAACTTGCGATCCCGCCCTCACTGCACTACATCGCCAGTAGGGCTTTTCTCGATTGCACTGCACTTCGTAGGCTAACAAAACTCCCATGCAGGCCGACACAAATGGCGGGGGACTTACCCAGAAGAAAACGCTTTTGCCATTTGCCCTGCCATGCGATGGCCACCGTGGTTGCACATGGTCCCTGACCCAGGCTATGTGTCGGGCTTAGCGTAGCCCCATCTTCCACACTCAGGAGTGGCTTCGAATGCGCTGTCCCTCACGACTGTTCGCGCGCGCGCAAAACAGAGGAAACTTCTCTGATGTAGATCAGCCAAAGATCACACCTATCATAGCTGCCCAGGTAACCTGGCTCAGCTAGTCGCCAATTTCGTCTCCACAGCCTGCATTAGTGAGCCTACCTGGCTGGGAGCCTCAGCTCTTGGCCATTGATAGGCGGGTGGCAGTAGAACGGTAGATGATTGGCGCCCAGGTGAGAACCTCAGTTCTTTGTCTGCGGGAGTCGGAACTCAGCCAATCTTGTACAAACATAACAAGAGTACCATGCTAGGATAGGTCGTAGTTTCACCAGTTTCACCCGGGCCGTGCATGTCGAAGGATAGTGACTTTATGAATCGAGCTATCCGTCTCATCGGAAGAGTGATCGCCCCCAGGCTCCCCTCGTTTTGCACTCGGGAGCCAACTGGGAGGTGAGTTGTGCCTCCCCCCGACAGACGAAGGTCGCCATTTTGTTTGCAGCCGCGCTATTGTTGCGATGTCTCTCACCGCCACACCCATGACGGGCCACTACCTCTTCGTTCGTGCAGTCATTTATACGGGTTGTGCCTCTGAGAGGTTGTTTTCCAAGGCCAGCAAAGCATTGCAACTGATGACTCTTGGCAATCGTCATCCTTTTGCTGCAACTTTTGCACCAGCCACCCTGTGAATCTTCGAAGGAAGCTGAAGTGCCTACGACCAAGCTGGCAAAGATGACATTACCCTTGCGTATACAAGAGGGCCATCTTTGATTGGCCTGCGTGGACAACCGCCTACGTCCAGATACAGTTATGCCTTCGTTGCGAATTCAGACCCTTAGGTAGTTTGAGTCTCTCATTTTTCATATGTCTCACCTTAGTACAGCGGAAACTCTGCCTACATTGGGTTTTGGGGCCTTTGGTTGTGTTTTTTTGGGGTTGGTTTTGGTTTTTGTTTCTTGTTTTCTCGTTCCTTTCCCCCTACCAATATGCAGAGTTTCCATCCTTCACATGATGACCTGGGCACACCGCCCACACGGCGTCGGCTCCGCTGGATCTTCCTTTCGACGATTTGTAGTTTTCGATTGCTGATCCAGCTGTTTTCCCTGAGTCGGAATGTCTCGTAGGGTCCATACCTCTCTGGAACCTTGTGAGCGTGATAGCGGAATGCTGCTGTCCTTGAATGCCTTCCATGTTAAACAACTTTGATCTAGCAGCCTTCCGACTGTGCAACATTGCCCCCTTTTGTATGAAGCAAGGCGGGCTGTTCGAATGCCCTTGTATCATGAATGCAGATGATTTGTCAGTCAAAGGGCAGTGATTCTACTTCGATGGTAAACGAAGCACATGAACCTGATCAAGACGTACTGAGCGCAAGGGAAGAATTCATTGCCCCAGGCCGCATCCTGTTTCGCCGCTCTTCAGGCTGACTCAGCCATCCTGAGATACGAACCTAGCCAGCGTTTTGGTGGGGTGTTTTGTTGTTTCTTTGTTGCTTTGTTCTGGGGGGCTTTTCTGGTTGTTTTCCCTTTCGGTTTGCTGGCCGGTTCACTTCTCTTTCTTTACTAGCTTAAGGTGACTTGTGCATAACCTGCACACATAGCGCCTCGACTCGTGCAAAAAAAAGGACCTCCTTAGCAGGATAAGGTGGAATGTGACCAAGAGTGGCTAGGAGCACCTTTAAAAAAGCCCTGGCTAGAGCTGTGTACAGCTTGGAGTAGCTTGAGAGTGTTTGGAGATGCTTTCTTGTTCTTTTGACATGTTTTGGACGACTGCGACCAGTCAGACCTCTTCAGAAGAAGAGATGATAGATTTTGACACAGTCGAATCGACTGTGATGTTTGGCTCAAGAGCGGGATCTAAAAGGGAAAGCTTGCGCTTCCGTGTTTTCACAATGTGCGCCCTTCAGTGCCCATCAAGACCCTGTGGAATTTTTCCTGCTTCAGCAACCGGCCTTGGGCCCATCGCTTTGCAGGATGGGCAATGGACCACGAACATGCTGCTTCTGCTGCGCCAGATGCTGCAGCAGGTTCCTCAGGTGGGGCTGCTCTGGCAGCCTTCCTCATCGGCTTCCAAACCATCTTCTGGACAGAAGCAAGCTCTGACAGTGGCCTGAAAAACAGGTTTCCTTGCCACGAACGACTGTTCCCATTCTGCCTTGTTCAGTGTGGAGAGGAAGAAAAATGGTCTTTTGGAGGCCTCGCTCGCGCGAAGTCGGCCTCGTCCTTCTTCCGCTGTCCGGTCAGAGGGTGTCATTTTCGTTTTTTGGCTTTTCAGTGTTTGAAGGGCCTGATGGATGTGGCTCGAAAACATATTTGGACAACCGGCAGCCAACTGCCACTCCATGCTGCCATTCAGCGCCGAGAGCATTGGACACATGTTCCAGACAAATGTTCGGAGCCTGGCTCGATTGAGATTGGCCAGCCCCACGCGTGAAAAGAAAACAATTCCACAATTGGACGGCTTGACCAATTCATCCAATCCGCAGGTGCCCAGAGCACGTCGGAAATTGTGAATTGTGAGTCCCTTGTGCCGTCCCCTTCATTTGGAGCGGACGCTCTGCAACTGAAGACAGCAGAAAGAAGGCAGATCTCCTCAGCAATTCATCACGCTCAGGTTTTGTTTCACACAGAATTCGTTCTGGAGCAAGGTGACAAAATGCGACCATGAGATCTAAGACCTGTTTGTTCCTTTGTGGCTTTTGTTGTAGTTGTTTTGGTTTTGGTGTGTTTTGTTGGGGTTTTGTGTTTTTGTTTTGGGTTTCGGTTCTTGTTTGTTTCCCAGAAATCTTCGATCTCTACAATGGCTGACCTTCGCATTTTGCGATTACTGGCAGCCGCACGCGCGCAAAGCAAATCCAAGAAAACACTTGAAGAAACTGATTGGCGCAATGTTGGTCATCGCAGTGCATGACAGACGCTTCATTCTGCAATGAGAATGGTTCAAGTCGCAACAAGGACAGCCAAGGTGGAGCCGCAATTCATGAGAACTTGTGGCAGGGACCCCACAGGACCTGGAACATTTTCCCAAACGGAGGAGATCGCCTGGATTGGATCAGCGCTGACACGATGTTGAGTGATGCATTGACGAAGAGCATGAAGCCGGACCTGTTGCTTTCCGTCCTTCGCTCATGTGTACACCAAGTTGACAAGAACAAGGAACGACGAGCAGAACGTTGATTTGTGGAAGAGCATCAATTTGCCGAAAAAGAGGAGTTTCAGTGCCTTTGAACCGCGGAACAGATGTCAGATTGTGCATAGCTTTCTGGACAGATTCGACGAACAGGTTGAGTGTGAATTTTCCTTTTTGGACGCATGTTGTGTACAGCTGAGTTCTGTCCATGGTACATTCTGCTGCCATTGTGTTTACAGGGCCCTTGAGCTGACCGCGCTGACGCACGCGTGAAAACGCCTTTGGACGTCGCAATCGGGACCATTTTCCTGCACTTGAGGCTGAGTCCACCAACGATCCAAACGCTGCGATCCCAGTGTGATCGAACCGGAAGCCTTTCGCAACGCGCTCTTGGCCGGGCACCGGATCACGGAAATGGACACATACAACTTGTGGAAAGTCACTGGCACTTGCTGCCCAAATAAAGTTGCCAGAGAATGTGCCAGTGTTTGCGCAGCTTCCGACTGTGCCAAATTTTAAGCTGAGCAGAAAATGCACATTTTTCACATTTTCCTTTTGTTTATAGGGTGTCGCAAACTGCATTCAGTCGAGCAGCAGGTTGATTATCTTGATTGAGAAATGTTGCTGTGCTTTCGATGTCTTGCACGTACAAAACATAATGTCAAGATTGTTTTGTTTCGATTTCTCGTCAACCATGTGTTTTTTGGTCCTTTTCCCAGCTAATTGCAGCAAAACCTATTTAGACCTCGTTGATCTACGTTGTTGGTTTTCCCGAGTTTTCGTTGACTTACAATATTGCACTCAAGTATAAATGGGGCAACTCAGGTGTGGACAAGATTCAACATCATTTCAATGTAGGTGCTGCTGTATTGGGACCATGTTGTTTTCTTAGATACGTAAAATTTGTTTAAAAAACAATCCTTCGGAGAGTTTCCACAAGTTACCAAAACGCGTAATGTTCATGGCGAAGACGAGGACTAGGCAATTTTTTAAAGTTCTCACGCATGTTGTTGTATGCCGCTGGTCTTTGTTGGAGCATGAAGGTATAAGATTTGTTTTGTTGGTTAGATCCTACAAAACAGTTTGATCATTGGATATTGGATTTAATTTGTACTTTTGTTGTTGTAGAAGGACGAACTTCACACATTTGTAAGAACCTACATCTCAACCTTTCGTTTGAAACAACATTATTGCAATGGCTTCACCAGATGGTCGGCACCTCAGATGCGATATCAGTCTTCCACTACAGTGATGTTTCAGCGTGCTCTGGAGTGCTCTGAGCGAAGTGCCCGATAATTCGGACAGGTGGTTCCGCCATGGAGGCTCTTCAGAAAGACTACCAGGACCACCTTGTTCAGAGGAGTTTTCAAGCACCTGGGCACTCTGACAGGACACACTGATCGAGCTCACTGGTAAGAAAAAGGAAATCGTCGAGTGCTGCCCTCAAGAAAGCTGGCAAGAATTGCACCGATTAAGCACTTGACACTATGAAAATCCTGTGCACACCACTAGCATTCTGAGAGAGTTCAATTTCTGTTGTGAGCTGCTTATTCAAGCCATTCAAGCCACCATGCCAAGTCCTTTTCGAATAGAGTATGAGAAGCTGTACAAGGCGAGGTTTGACGTCGGGCAATCACTGTGGAGTCATTGCAATATGCCTGGATTATATATACAAAAACCTTACTAATGATTCTATTTGGAGTATATAACCTGTTGAATGGCATGTATTCTTTTTCCAGTGCTTGTCGTGAAGCGTAAGGCATAATCACACATTTTGGAAGGTGCATTGATGCTGCAAGTTGTTGTCAATTGTTTTCAATTGATTTCCTTCTGCATGTATTAAATTTACACGCCCTTTTGTAAAGATTCAATAGATGGCATAGATATCAGGCCTTGATGCGGTCGCATGAAGCCGAAAAGTTGGGGACTGAATGCATCGGTGCGTAGTGCCCCTGGCAGTTCTGGTTCATCACACTGAGGCGCCTCACCAAAAAGATCAGAGATCTGAATTCAGAGATTAGCTCCAGTGTTGCAGTCTTAGAAAACTCAACCGATCAACCTGCTTGAGCAGCTAAGCATCCTACGTCTTGAAGCGCAACCTAGGCGCAAAATGTACAAACTGCGCTGAAAACAGCAGCTGAAGACCAGCAACAGATCTCGACTCTCAGGCGGATTCCGCTTGAAAGTTGTCGACGCGTATTTGAAAGCGAACCAACGATCGCAGAGTTTGGATAAACCGGACTTGCTCATGTGCTGTGTCTTTCCAGGCAGGAGATTGATGCTAAGCAGAAGCTAGTGGAGGAGGCAAACCGAAAAGAAGAGCAGGTGTGGCACTGCAGACAGAAGCAAGTAATCATCATAAGGAGAAGAGGAATGCTGGGTACACCGACCAGTAAACTTGCCCAAGAAGAAGATGCTTGCAGATATGTGAACTCTTGGTACGAGGCCAAAGAGACGATCAGCAAGAGAAAATTAGAAATTGAGGATTTGGTTTCCAGGCTGGGACACAGCGTCAGCTGCAATTTGGAGCCTGGAAGCTAAGTATTGGTTTGCACATGTTCTGATTCTCTCTGAGGATAGAACAGGGTGCTGGAATGTCAGAGGAACAGGAATTTCAGCCTTTGCCTCAGTGTTCATGATTCATAATGCTTTCCAGGAATGTCGTTTTTCACGTTGTTGTCGATAGCTCAAGTTGTGGAATTGACCGTTGGTTTTCTGTGGTGAAAGCTCTCAGGTTGAACCAGCTCATCGGGCAGAAGGTCCGCACTTTTGATTCAGTAAATATCATATGTAGTGCCCTTGCTGACCTCTGCAAGGCAGTATGGCAGGCCATCAAAAGCGCAGTGAAACAGTGTTGCATGCCCGAAAGCTGCTGTAGAGTGACTTCCCGAAAGGCTGAGTTTGTTCGGAGCCACTAAATGAAGATCTCGACACTCCGCGACAGAACTTCTCGTGCCCTTGCTGTAGTATGGTGTACCTTGCTGTAGTATGGTGTACCCACTGTATACAACATTCTACGCCCATGGAAGACCAAAGCAGTAGCTTTCTCCAAAAACAAGGAAGACCTCCACGAAGCACCATGGTTGAACTGGCCGTTTCACTCGGTCTAAGGCTAAGGCAATTTTGCTGCTGCCCCGGTTCAGGAAAGGGTATATAGCTCTTCAAGCAATGTGCAACGCATCTTGCGACATCTCGGTACCAACTGAGTGAACCACTCTAGGCTTCACACTGCTTTTGCGGTATGGGTCTAACTGCTGAAGCCCAACCTGAACTCTGTTCATGAAGATTTCTGCCACATAGTGAGCTTTTGCATTGCATCTCAGATCATGCATCATGTCCAGCGCTGCCGTCATGAAGACCAGACTCAAAGGTGAAATGGTAAACACCGGGCTTGAGCCTTCGCGGCCTTGGCCCCAAAAGTCATGCTTGCTTTCAGCACTTTCATCCAGCTTTCCTAAGGCTTTTTCGGTTTTGGTCCAACTTGCAAGAAGAGCCATCCGCCAAACCTCTGTTGAATGAACGGAGGAACTTGTATCCAATGGGAAACTGGTTTTGTACTGCAAAGGAGACGCGGTGCTTTGCATCTTTTTTGTAAGGGATGCACGAGTCTGCTTGGTGGAGACTGTATCCTGCAAGCTGCCAAATGTTGCCGATACTTTGTGCATCACTGCCATCATGACTATTCGAATCACTTGCTGCACATATTCACAGCAAGAACACCGAACACCCTCCAAAGCATTCACAGCCCAACACCGTTTAGCAAAACTTTACCCTCCAGACAATTTGCCGCTATTGAATTGCGTTCGCCTGACATCGAGTGTCTTTGCATCGCTTCTCTTCGCTTTTCACCCTGACAATATTTTGATTCTCATGTTGGGTCGTTTGGCAGGAGCAGCTCGAAAAGGACCGAGACCTTCTGAAGCAGAACACCGAAATGCTGCAGAGGCCATGTTGTTTGCGAGTGACGATGTGGCTATGCATTCTTTGTGTGGAGAAAGTACAGGTTAAGCCTAGATAGGGAAACTTGAAACCTGGCCGGTTGTTGAAGCATTGCCCTGGCAGGATAACCCAAGGCCGCTTTGATGAGGTGCAGCGTTTGGAGAAGGACTTGGCTGAAGCTGAGGCCATGTTGATTTTGCCAGGCATAACTTTTCTTTTGCTTATTGTTGGCACAATTTGAGTGTCTTGATTGTCCATGTTGGAAACAATCTTGCAGAGGCTCAGATTCTGCTGTTGAAAGACAAAATCGCCGAAAAGCGCGGTGAGGCTTGATTCGGATCCAGCTCCAGCTTCCTAGCTTCCTGTGTTCACACTTCGACCGTGACTTTGTTCTACAGGTAGAAGTAGCAAAGCGTCAAAAGGAAGAGCTTGAGCAAAAGATGAAGGAGTCCAACCATGTGGGTCTAGCCTAGCACATCTGAAGCCCTTGGAAAGGAACATCCTTTTGGACACCTGTGGTCAACTGGTACTTGCTGGTGGTCTGGCAGTTCGTTGGCACCAGAGGACTTGCGAGAAGAGAACGACCAGAAGCAAGAGGAGTTGGCTGCAGCCAGAAGGTACCTGTAAGTGCACGTTTTGCTTTTGGCCCTGAGTTCCCGGCAGTAGTGTGCGTCCTGCATCGATTCACTAATTCTATGTACCCTTTGTCACATGCTCCAAGGGAGTGACTTGGCCGCACAGCAATCCATGTGTTCATTTAAAGACGATCGCTGGGTATACTGTAAGTCCAGTATCTTGGGATAGCTTCACCCTCCCAGAATATGTGCAGCTCGTGTGTGACTAAGCCAATCGAAGTTCGTTAACTTGTGCAATGCTTGCTCGATTGAGAAGCAGGATTCCAGACTGGTGTTTAAATGTATATACTGTACGTCGCAACACATCACAGCATCTTGAGTGCAAGCTCGATTCAGCCATCGCTGAGTGATAGATGAAGAGGTGGATGGGTACACTGGGTACACACTTTTTGGTAGCAAGAACCGTGACGTTGTTCTTCAATAGTGTCTATGGCTTTAGAACATGTGGTTGCACGCAAGAAAGAACAGAGTAGGCCTTGGTAGGCATTTGTGCAGGCATGATGCGTGCGAGTACACAGTTTGTAGGACATTGCGCGCCTTGTACTTTTATAGATAGCATGTCCACACACCCAAGCGAAGCTGGTGATTCTGTTTTTGCTGCACATCCAAGTGTGCTTCATTTGCTTGTTGTGCCAGGAATATTGCCCAAGAGCAGACTGAGCTGCGGAAAATCCAGCAGGCTGAGCCCTGCGCCACCATGTGTTGACTTGCGGCCGAAATTGGCTTTGTGGATCCTGCTGCCACAGAGCTTACTCCACAGCCACACAACGTAATTTCTATTTGAGACGAGCTGATTGAACAGGCAGTGGCTGACACTGACAAAGAGGAAGAGAGGCTTGAAAGGCAGGAGGAGATTCACCAACAAAAAACACACAAGTGCTTTCGAAGAAACGGTATATTTTTTTAAATGATTTTTGTGCCTTTGCTTTGCTCATTGGACACACAGCTGCGCTCGGCTGCACTATGTGAGGCGAGTGCACCAGAGGCTTGATGAGAAACGGAAGCTGGAGGAAAAGCTGGATCAGGCGTCCAGTGAGTCATGAGTCCGAGATCCAACGCTTGATTTCAGCGAGCTTCGTTCGAACACAGGAGCAGGCAAAGAATCAAAGGTCCGTCCAGGCGAGTGTCATTTGACTACACCAGTCTCTTTCACATGCAAGTGTAGAACACAAACCTCGGCTTCTGTTTTTGAAGGGCTACCATCCCTTTCTACCCATCTTGATTCCATTTCAATAGGTTTGCCAGCATTTGGTCATGATATCCAATGACCAAGTTGGTGCATCCCTTTGGGATGCGGAAAAGATGCGTGGGGGAAGCGACCAGGAGAACTTGGGGAAAGAACAGCTCATCAAGCACCGCAGGCGGATTGGGGTCTGCATCGACCCAAGGCCCCCAGAGGAAAGAGGTCATGGCATTGATTCCTCGAAAGCTGACGGGTGGTGCCGTGTGAAAGCTTGGTATGTAGTATGTAGGCGTTGGATTTGCTGAGGTTCTTCTGGCCACAGCTTTGGAACTGACACAAAAAGCTGTTCTTTCTCAGGGAAGAGCTGCAGCGGCATCATCGTGAGAAGGAAAAGATCATAAAGCTTCATGAGGTGAGGAATAAACCTTGATCGGCATGCATGTTGTGTCGAGCTTCTCGCAGCATAGAAAGTATTTTCCTACGTTCAGCAATTCTCCATGTGTCTACACCTCTACTTTGCACACCTTCAGTCCAACAGTCCTCTTGAGGCCTTGAAGAAGAAAGACAATCAAGCAGAGGATGAGCGCTTCAAGGCTGAAGGCTGGATGTTTGTTCCTTTCTTATGTGCTTCACAACAGTCAATGATCTTGGGTCGCAAGCCCTTACACAGGTCCTGCAAATGCACTTACTGTGGATTGGGCATTGCAGAACTCTCCAAGTCTTTCTCGGCGCAGGCAAACGGAATGAACTGAAGTCTGAGGTGAAATCCGGACAGGAAAGCGGAAGGGGTTGGAACGCCAGTGGTGATCCCATTTGGCGGTGTGGCGCCACTTGTTAGCCAAGTACCATACCTTCAAAATCACCTTTGGCAACTTGGCAGGAGAAAGCTGAGTCATTGAAGCGTGATGCCGATGTCGATAGAAAGAAAATTGAGGAAACCAAGCTCTCACAGTGACGCCAGCACAAGCTACAATGATGACCTCACTTCCTGAAGTCAAGATCACACTTTGTTCTGGTGTATTGTCATGCCACAAGAGCTGCCACGCTTGCACTTTCTTGACATAGGACTTGCTGCGGGAGCGCGACATCCTGAACAAGAATGTTGTCAAAGCAGATGAGCGTACAAAGAAGCAGATTGATTTAGTCAAACGCCAGGCTCATTGGGCAGGTGCTTTTTTCAAAAGTGTTCTTGCGTAATCCTTGCTTTTGAGCAGGAAACGCAAGCTATGAACATGCAGAAGGATATCACTCGCTGGAAGCAGGAGCAATCAACTGCAGGTGTGCTTGCACTCAAATCGTTCTGGGTCATCCAAAGGGTCTCAGTTGGCTCTTTTTGCAGGATGCCCTTGAATTTCAAAAGCGAATCGTCGAGCTTCAGAAGCAACGTGAAAAATATGGTATTGAACTCTCACAGGCCGGACACCCAGCGTTAAAGGCTTTAAGACAACCATGTTCACGCTGACGACCTTCTTTTTTGTAGAGAATATGGACTGTATACATATATATATATACATACACACATGTATGTATATGTAGTAATGTAGTAATAGTAATATTGATGTAATGTAATGCAATGCAATGCAATGCAATGCAATGCAATGCAATGCATGTATGATATGTATGCATGTATGTGTGTGTTTGTTTATAGGTATATGTCCACTGAGACAATAAGAGAAAAACAACTATCGGCAAAGTCACTAAAACCACATTCTTGCACATGTGCGAGGCCAATGCCAAATACTTCGCATGCAAAGAGGAGCTGAAAAACCGTCACTGAGCCCAGCATCAGAATTGAGTTGTTTCTTTACCAACTGAATTGAATGGGTGAAAAGTTTGTAGACCAGGCGGTTCGACCTTGACTGAGCTCAAGAAGCAAATAGCAAATGCAGAGGCCAAACCCTGAGCTTGGCTGAATTCAGGGGATCCTTCAGATACACAAAACACAAATGGGACTCAGTACGTGCATGTCATACTCGCTAATTCAAGAGTTGCTGCAGATTTCCATTTTTGAGATGCTTTGGCAATTCGCTGCCTTTCTTTGTGGTTCGGAACAGGCCAAGCTTAACCAGCAGAAGAACCTCTATGACAATGTATGCATGGATAGGCCGTGCTGAGCGACACTGAATCATACTTGGTTTCTCACTTGCCAACAGTGCATATTTGTGTGTCCAATCTTGGTCGCTACTGTGCAGGAACATGCAAGCAAAAAGCTTAGTGGAATCCAATGAAGAAATTGCGGAAACTCGGTCGCAGGGTCTTCAGCAAGGATTGATGCGACGGATTAGTGATGGTTGAGCTGTTGAGACCATTTTGCTTTAGACGTGCAGTTGGAGAAAACGTTGTGCTGGTGCTTTTAGTTGGCAAAGACGCTGCTCTTAGTGCTTTTCTAAGGAAATGCATCGCAAGTTCAAAATTATGTGTGGCCTCCCAGTTATATTCTGTTTGTATGTTTGAGAGGCACATTGTCCTCCCCCTCGATGTAGCATTTCCTTGTTTGCTTGCTGAAAATTTTATTGGAACGCGTTGTCGTATTCCTTCCCATGACTTTATCCTGATATGCAGATCTCATCAGACGACCGCGCTGAAAGAAGAGTTTCGGGAAAAGGCCAGGGCTTGTCATCGCAATGACACTCATGCTTTTTGATATTTTTTGCACTTGACTCGTTTGGGAGTGACGCACCCCTTGAGGACAGCAGGCTGGTGAGAGGGCACTTTGAGCACAAGGAGGCACATTGAAGTGGTGGAGGGTATGAACAAGCAGCTGAGCCACCATTCATCGCCACAAGAAAGTACATAATATGCTTCAACACTTGCAATCAGATAACTAGGTACATGAACTTGTTGGTGCCTCCTGGAAACGTATCCAATGCCCTGTCAGTTGCTGAAGCATAATGACAAGCTGAAAGATGCGAAGGAAAGGGCCCAGAGAAGGTTGGGCTATTGGCTACGTTTTGCTAGTTTCCTGCGACACCCTTTCCCTGCCATCAGACAAACACACAGCGGCGACGGGATCTCTCCATAGTGTTTGCAAAATTGGAAGCACTGTGGAATCCATGCGGTCACTGAGCATTCAATGTTTGGAGGTTGAAAAGCTTGACAAACATCGTAGAAACTCAGCCAGGGCCTCGAAGCATCCGTCAAAGGTGATACCGAATCATTTTCTACACTTTGCAACCTGTCTGAGACGCGCGCAGCTGAAAAAGCTGGAGAGCACCATCCAAGAAGCCGAGCAAGAACGACAGGCCCAGCTAAAGGAGCTGGGCCAGGTGTTCTTGATAAGATTTCGAAGCCATGAAGACAGTGACCAAAATCTTTTGTTTGTTTAGTTGTTTTATATTTTTTCCCACGGTCTTTTCATCCGATTGCCAATTTGAACCATTCTTTCATCGCCTCACATCAAGTGGACCATTCCTTCGGAGGAGCTGGAAGGCGTTGTTGGCGAGCGAGACATCTTGGGTGCACAGCTGATTCGGCGCAATGAGGTCCAGGGCAGAATCAGACAGACATTTTGTTGGACCTGGTTGCGTTTTTTGGTCTATATAGTTCCCCACCTGTCATGTGAGGGTTGTTAGATTTTGATCTCAGCTGCCGTGCTTCTCCTCTCCTCCTCTCCTCCTCTCCTCCTCCGCCTCCTACTCCCCCCTCCTCCTCCTCCTCTCCTCCTCGTCCTCCTCAGCCGCAAGTGTAGGATGGCAGTGTTCTCCGGCGGGCCTCAACCGCAAGTGTAGGATGGCAGTGTTCCCCGCCAGACCTCAACCGCCAGCTCCGGGCGGCAGTGTTCCTCGCCGGACCTCAACCGCGAGCGTCGGCGGGCAGTGTTCCCCGCCGGACCTCAACCTCAAACTTTTGCTGGCAGTGTTCCCTGCCGGACCTCATCCGCGAGTCAGACGATATGCCAGAAAGAATGTCAGAAAGAGTGTCAGAATATATGCCAGCAAGAATGTTAGAAAGAATGTCAGAAAGCACGCCAGATAGAACGCCAGAGTGACGTCAGAAGAGATGTCAGAAAGAATGTCAGAAGCTATGCCAGAAAGAATGTCAGAAGGTGTGCCAGAAAGAATGTCAAAAATTGTGTCAAAAGATATGCCAAATAAAAGTTCAATACGACTCAACACATGCCAAAAATTTTGTCGGACTGAAATGTCATGGTGGGGACCACTTGAAGTAAAGTAGCTGTTTGGCTGCGAAGCTTGTTTGCTCCTGAGCTTGTTACTTGGTGCATCAAGCTTCCAAAAGTTTCAATTTCACTCCAGGAGTTGGCGCTTTTGTATGAAAAGATTAAGATTCAGCAGAGTACCTTGCAGAAGGGCGAAATCCAGTGCCCGGCCGTGAATGCATAATGACACAATATGAACGGTGCATTTTTTAGCATTTTTTCGGTGTCCTGACCTTTCGTGACCCTTCCTGACCCCCTTTTTTGTTTTCCTCAACTTCTTCGGGACCCCTTTTCTTTCCTCAATTTCTGCAGGTACCAAGATCGGCTGAAAGAAGTGGCCAAGCTTCGAGCGGAGATTCGTGCTTGTAAGGCAGGAAAATCATTATCAAACGGGGGCATTTCGTGGAAGGACTGCATTAATAAAGGGGCACTTCTGACTGCAGTACTTTTTTTTTTTTGTATACTTGCCTTAGGAAACATTCTCTTCTTTTTTGAAGATGACAACTGGAACATGCTTACAGCATGGCTTTTGCCTTGCATTCTTCTTGCGCCCAGGGTGAAGTCGGGCACGCCAAGCTGCAGGCGCTGAGATTCTTCGAGTTGTGCGTTTAAATCCGAAAGGCAGTCACCAAAACAAACATTTCATTTAGTTGACGACTCGTGATATGTAAACAGCGGGCCCCCGATGATTGAAGGAGGCTGTTCTGGCCAAAGGTGTGCTTGCTCCCTTGAAGGTGACAAACGTCGAGACTCTGAAGCAAGAGATTCACTTCCTCAACAAGACCCTCTTGCGCGAGGACACACTAATGTTGACATGGCTCTGACATGACATTCTCTTTCCATATAGTTTTCTTCAGACATTGATGCACCGAACACAGCCGATGTCTTGAGGAGACTAAGGCAAAGGCTTTGCAAGAAGAGCTGGAGAATCCAATGAATGTCCATCGGTGGAGGGAATTAGAGGCCTGCGTGCCAAGTGAATGTGTTTTGTCAGTCAGCCAAGGGAAACAACCTGACCTTGGTGGAAAACTGGTACAAACGTTATGTTTTCGACTGAATTGTTGCCACTGGCTATCAATAGCTTTGCCAGTCGTCTGATCCGGCCACTTACCAGATGATCCAGAAGGCAACTTGGGCGACTTTGAAGGATGTTTGTCTTGCAGCACACCGCAGGGTTTTGGATGAGAATCTCCAACTTTGAGTGTGAGGTGAAGTCTTTGCAGAAGCTTCTCATTGCCAAGACGGAAGAGGTTGCGAGCTGTGAGTCACAAAAGCACCTTTCACTACGGTACTGCAACTACCTGCTTGTTGGAGGTTGTGGAGAAAGATGCTTTGATTCAAGAAAAAGAGAAGCTCTATGTGCAGCTGAAGAACATCATTGCAAGGCTGAGCATTGCAGCCTGTAGCTTGTATATATATATATATATATGTGCATTTGCAGATACATGAACCCTATACTCCTGGAGTCACCGCTCCTCGCAAGACTTCGTAGGCTCACAAATACCTCATTCAGTGTTTGGGCTTTCCCTGAATTCAGACAGCTTCAGGTTTCGAGTGACTCCCCCTCGTCTCCTTTTGACTTGATTCAGGCAACCTGGTCCTGAGGTCGCAGAGCAGCTGGCCTGGTGCACCACCGGGCTTGCTTTTTGAAAGATGCTAATATATAATGACGAAGGTGGCTTGTTTTGACTTGCAGTGTCTTCATTGAGGATGGTCTTCTTGGTGGGTGGGTGACAACTGAAAACTTGCTACAGGTACAGCCAAAACTTGAAGGAAAAAACGGGCCACATGAAACAAATGGCAGCTGAGTTGGAGATGTACCACAACCAGGCTCAATGCACATGCTGCTGGCTGTCAAGTCATCCTGGTATATATATATACAGTATATAATGTTATGGTAGTTGACAGGATTGGCCTCCCTCATGTTTTAGGAAGTGAGATGGAGGGGTCATCAAAAGGTAATTCTGAAAGAATTGAACTTCCAATTGGAAGTGAGTTTGTGAAGTTTTTACTCAAGTGGGCAACGATTCAGAGAACCGTTCTGCGTTTTGTTCTCAGTAGCCACAAAGATAGCAGATTGGAAGGTCCAAGACCTCAAAGAGGAGATTGATCGTCATAACAAGGAGTTGGGATGTGCAACTTTCTGCATGAGCAAGATGCATATGATACTCAACGTGAAACATGCCATCATTGGAAGGCTAGAAGTGTGAGAGATGAACGATGGTACTGAAGTCCTCTTTTCATGCATATTATACATTGTAAGATATCATTGGTTCTCTTGAAGACAATGACAGGACTTCCAAGGGACCAAGCAGGCTGCAGCCAGGGCAAGTCTTTTGAGCATCACTTGTAATCATTCTCTCTCCTTCAGAGTTTTGATGGTGGTTGTTGGTGATTAAAAAGCGTACTGGCTCATTCGGCTGCACGTTGCGGCCATGTGCAGCCCGCTTTCAATGTGTTTGCGGTGAAATTGCTTCTGGAAGAGGCCTATTTCCAGATGTTGCGTGCCCAGCTGAAGAGCCAATCTCAAAGCTCTGTGCGAGTCTCGGTGGATTGACAGTCTGAAAGCAATGGCCTCCAACCTACTAGCAATGTAACATAATGTATAGGTTTACCTGTTGTGGTTCTTCCCTCTGAGTGGCCAGATCCTTTTAGCATCGGTGTTGGTTGTCACAGCCCACAGCATCTCAAGATCTCTCTGGGTGAAGTTTCCCACTCTTTATTTCCTTACTTGGTTTTCTTGCAGTCGAGCTGATATCCGACCTGTTTCCCGGCTTGTGTTGCAGACCACAGATTCCAAAGTATTTGGAACAAGTTCTTCTGATTGTGGGAACTTGGTGAGTGATGCGCCTGTGTAGTCTTTGGTATTCCGCAATGGTTCTCATCTCCTGTGGAAGGGAGAAGGGTCATGTTTCTTCGTTGTCAGTTTTCCATTTAGGCCTGGTTTGGTGCTCTCGGTATCACATGGAAATGACACAGAAGATTCAAACCCGTGGTACTGCCTGTTGCATGCATCAACTGTCTCTACTGGCAGGTTCCTCTGGAATAAGCCGCCTCGTTTCACTGAATGCAAATGCACCGACCCAGAGTTGTGCTGGTGCCTTGACGCCACATGATCGTGACGGTCAGGCAAATCGTGCGACCGAGTCTTGTTTCACATCCCACACTGAAACCAGCGTGATGTTTTGAGTAGCTTGGTGTCTCGAACTCTGTATCGCCAGGCTGATGTACAAAGATCACACCGCCCTCATAAGGCCAAAAGTTTGATCGAGCCAACACAACCGCGAAAGGACCTGACAGCTACAAAGAAGTTGTATTGCATAGTGCTCAGAGAGCTTTGCCACTGGCAGCAGTTCAAGCAGAAAACGTTCAACCTGTAAACTGTCCACATCCAACTTTAACCAGTCTTGAAGCACGGTAGTACCAATCTGGACGAGCTGATTCATACAAGGAGAGCATTCCCCTTCGAACCAAACATTCGGAGCACTTTTTACTTGACCTTCAAAAGCTGTTCAGAAGCCAACAGCTTTTGATTTTGTCTTCTTGAGTCTAGAGCTGATGAAAAGCTTCTCCGATAGTAGTTCTCAGAGCTGACAAGACGATGTGCCAGCTTGCTACTCAGGAATCTATGGGAGAATTGTCAGCTGCATCAAAAGTGATCTCCAAATTCCAAGATACACATTTGTAATGGTATGTATATATATATATAGAGGCAGCAAAGTGTTTAGGCTCCAAAGAGCTGTGTGCTGCTTGCTTCCCAAGGAGATGCTTTCAGGTACTTCCACTTGAACACTTGAAGGTGCCCACAGAATCACAGATCGATTGCATGTTGTACACTTGTTGTGAAGCCTTCAGCCACAATGCTGTCTTCACAGAAGCACAATTGGAGCGTCAAAACTTTGAAGCCTTCTTTTTTGAGCTGTTGCTCAAGGGCCCAGGGCACGTGCTCATCGTGCCAGCGTAAAATGGCGCCGCCGGGCTTTGCATGGCCTTTCCTGGCAATAGGAACAGCCTTAGCAGCAGGGGTCTTTGAAGTGGACAAGCCAGCAGCATGTTCAACCGCATCATGGACTACTGCGTGTTTTGGTGCTGCGACTTGTGAGTCTCTATCCGGTGCAGGCTTGCAATGTGACGCTTTGAACCAGTTAGGCACCTGCGGCACTGTCTGTGCGGAACCGTGCTGCATCACAACCACTAGCACGACCATGACTCTGACAATGACAGCTACCACACTCACAACGACTGAGACCACTGTGACCCGGTCCTCAATCACAGTGACACACACCAGCACCGAAACACAAACAACCAGCCAGACTGATACGACGATCAGCACGACAGGAACCACAGTGACGTCATCATATACAGGAAGCTCAATCACCCGCACAGTGACAATGACAAGAACTCACACCATGACCATGACCTCCACGGTCTCTGAAACTGAGACCTCCACACAGACCACAACTGAGGTGCCAACCACAACACAAGGTGCAGCTGCCAAGATCACTGTGACTATGAGTGTGACTGTTCCATCGAATGAAGCCCAGAGCTATGTGCAAGACTCCAGAGTTAGCAAAGCATACAAAAAGGTGATGGAGAAAGTCACAGGTCTCAGTTCTGATATGGTAGACGTCGAATTGGAGCACTCGCAGCCTACCAAAGATGGCAACCTCACTGTCACCTACACCCTCACCATTCCATATGAAGACCAAGGAAATGGATTGGTGGCAGCTGTTCCACTAAAGGATGTCCAGGACAAGCTTGCTGGGCTCGATTTGGAAAGCCTCAATGCCATGCTCGATGAGCAGGTGGCCGCAGCTACAGGCTCCGGCAAGTACACTCAGGAGGTTGAGCGATTACGAGAGGACCAAACCAGCGTGGTCAATGGTGCTGTCATACACTTTTCCTTTGCCACCTCTATGTTGGTGTACTTTGCTGCCGTGTACTTGAAGGCCATCTCTTGACAAGGACTTGAGTGAGCCTTTGTGCATCCTTGTTTACGGCATTCTCCTTGCTTTTGTTCAGCAAAGTTTTCCAGCTTGAAGCGACCTTTTGCTGAAACTGCCGGAGGACGCCCCGTCCATCAGCGCTAGGCTTTTTGGACTTGACCCAAAATATCAAACTTTTGGGTCTGGCGTCGACTCGCGTCCGACAACGGACCTTACAGTTAGCCTCATGAACGTGAGACGTCTTTTCTCACCATGCAAACGCAGACGGTGAGCGCCAAGCGAGAAACCCCAAGAAGACAATAGAGAGGATGAAAAAGTGGTTGTATTCTTGATATCAACCTTGGAGAACCTGTCATATTTAATAGCTTGAGAACTGCATTACATGTTAAGAGTGAAGATCTCGGGAGCAGTCGGATCATGTGCGAATTGATTTCTTGCAGGACATTCGAAGCCTGAAAGCCCTGAGGGCATTGATCTGCAAAGACTCAATTTTCAGTGGTTCGGTGTTTAGACGTTGGCTGGTGGAGTCCCTTTCTTGGGCGCTTCCCTTGCCAAAGTCTGCAACTGGTGGAGTGGAAGTGCCTTTAGTGCTAAGCAAGTTGCTGCATATGGAAAGGGCTGTGGCTTGGGACGATCTCGGACAGATGTCTAATGATTTTGTACGGACTAATCTAGGCACAAGTTTCACTCAGGTTTGAGCGTTTTGAGTAGCCTGGCGCAAGAGCACACTGATGGTCAGCAGCAGTATGAGCGCCGGGCTTCAGCTCGGGCTTTCGTGGGAAGTTGATTTTGAGAGCGAGTTGCCAAATCTGGTGGGCTTGGAAACATGTATCCTGGACATTGTAGATAGTCTTTGCAAGGGATTTCCCATTCTTCTCAGTGGTGCAAACTGTCCGTCAAGAAACATGGAAACCCAAAGCAGCATCAGATAAACTCCAGTGGCCTTGTTATGAAAAGGTAGGATCTGGCCTGGCCTGGCTATTTCAGTCACAAGGAATGTTGCCCAAGTCCATGGCAATCAATGCTGACGCTGTCGGTTTAAGCAAGCCGCGCACGATCCATAGGACAACGGCTCTTTTCACAAATAGTAGTGTTCATTTAAGAAGTGACAGACCAAAAACACAGGATCAATTCCAGTGATTATCGCAAAGGACGCTCTCAGCGCTTACAATACCTGGATTCAATTATATATATAAGTCATTTCCAAAGATCTATCTATCACCCCCACACTGCAAAATGATCATTCGCTCCCATGCCTTTAGCGGTGGCGGAAGCTGAAACGCACTGGAGCAGAACCTTATTTGTTGGCGTATCACTATTGGGGTGGTGAGCAACACCGCTTAGCCAGCATGGATTCAGACTTAGACGCGTTCAGTTGTAATCCAAAAGATGATAGCTCCGTGGTATATTAGCCTTTAAGCTAAGCACATTGACCAAGTATCTGAACCAATTTGTCCTCGCGCACCGACTTCGATTACTGTCGCAGCATCAACTTCATCAGCAACTAGGGTAAAGCTAGCGGCAGGCTACAATCTTTACGCTCTAAGCTGAGGGACTTGACAAAACAGCATCACTGGCCATTGCTTGAAAAGTTTTGTGCCACTCAATTTTGTATTCAATATTTACTTGCATCATATCGGATGCTTGTGCGGGTCGCTGCGGACTTTTGGGAGGATGCTAGTTGGCTAAGCTAGTAACATTGATGTCAGGCACAAAAGGGTTCAAACACAAACAACCCAAAGGTTTTGACAACCCAAAGGTTTTGATTCACTCACTCTTTCAACACTGAGCCAGCCCTGTTGCTCCGCAGCTGCTTTTGCTTCCATGATGTATAGGAGCAACCTAGAGAAGGCAAACCCCATCAACGGGAAGCAACAAAGTGAAAACAGAAGGGTGCAGGACTTTAATCTTGTTTTGTGGCACGATTGGCATCTAAACGCAGATAAATGTACTCCTTGCCAACCCATTTGCATCCAGAACCCAGCAATGTTGGTCTCACATGTAGACAGGGCTTTGAGAGGAACAAATTTGCCCACATTCTTGACGAAGAAAAGGATAGATCTTTGAATGCAGAGTCTGGTACTAAGTGACCAATGTTCTGACCGAGTCTATTTCGGACACCAAAGCACCAAAGCATTGGCAGTCAGGTTGACAAGTTGACCAACTTGAAAGACTAAAGTTCGACGCCTCAGGCCTTCCAAGAATGGCACCGAAGCAAAAACAGAAAGGCAGGGTATGGCAGGGTGGGGTCGCGCGTGGCTTGTGAAAGCTGTGAGCAGGCCGGCTGTTTTCGTCAAGCGATGGAGGTCAGCCGAAAGAGCAAGTCCAGAGAAGCGGGTGTCCTCAGGACAAAGCGCACGAAACACATCACTACAATTTTGTCGTTTTCAGGCACAACACTAGTCATTTCTTTTGTTTTTTCCTTTTCCTTTTGATTCCTTTTGCTTCTCTTGCATTCCTTTTGCTTGATACCATTTGCATCCATTTGCTTTCCAACCGCCATGCAAATGTTGCCCGCTGACTTGAACCGCTCAGTAGCTCGTTGGTCTGATCCGATTGCAAGTCTTTTCATTTGATGTCGTAAGTAGGATAGGGCATGCTCTGGTTAAGGCTGTTTTTCAATGACCTTGAGGCGCTTGCCACAGCAAAATACGAAAACCAGTGCTTGCACTTTGCAAGGCCACTGCGATTGCACTTCGGGCATTGCAAACTTAGAGAACCCAACAAAGCAATTGGATTCTTTTTGTCCTTCTATAAATAATCATGAACGGTTACCGAAAGTGATAGGGGAGGGAAATGGGTCTTCCTTTTTGAACTGTTTCGTTGGGAGTCATGGCGAAGGCTACAAATGCCGCAGCTGCCGCACAACTCTCCAAAGATCTCCAGGCCCAGCTACTTAGCTCCCTTTCAGTCCCTCTCCCAATCAACCGGAGTCGATTTCTCAGGTTTGGACGCAGAGATGTTTTGCAGACTTGGCACCTGACATTACTTTCATGCATATTTGTTGCCCTTAGATAGAACTAAGCACTGGTTCCTAGAACAAGACTTGATTTCGAGGCTAGACTAAAACACTTTGTCGACTCTTCGTGTCACTGCCTTCCATCGAGTACCAGATTTGCACATTTTGCGAGGCGGCCCTGCTCGAGGCTGAAGTTGGCAACGAGCCAGTAGATGGTGGGCTCCTGGGAATGGCTGCTGCACAGGTTCGCAGTTGTCAAGTGGTTGAGACAGTGGATGGGGTGGTGGGTCCAATGGCTATTTACCCTCCTTTCCAAGACTTGCACCTCATTTCCTGAAAAGATCGAACTAACCATTATTGCATAGCCTGCGAGCTCCAGCCAGGCGGGCCGTTTGGGATTGAAGGACCTTCTTAGTACTCTTTGTGTCAGGGCCTTGGACTTGGTCAAACCAACTTTTGGTGTCGAACACCAGGGCGGAAGGGCCTTGGCAGGTGCCAAGGTCCCCACACCTGTTGTGGCCAGTCTTAGCCACCAAGTATTGAAGACTTGCCTGCCGCTTTCGTGAGCTGCATGGCGAAAAGGTGCTATGCATAGTTTCAGTTCAATTTTGTTGAACATGTTGTATGTTCAAATTAAGAAAGAAAGGGTTGGAGAAAAGATGAAAGGGACGGGTCGTATATTATTGGCTTGATGAGGCCTACGCATGGCCTCGCCTAAATTGCTGCGGTGGTCGAGAGGCTGCCGGCTTTACGAACAAAGTCCCACCGAGCCACATGGGACCCAATTTGTGAAAGTGCAGGAATCATTTCTTTCTAATAGCTTCTTGTTACTACTGGTAAGCCACTTGTTACTAGTTACTAGTAGCGATGCACTTGTTCTTAGTAGCTTATTGTTTCTATTTAATTATTGTTTCTATTGGTCAAGAGGGAACTCGTAGATTTTCAAGATGCCCAAACCAGTTTGGTGTTAATTGGGCTTGATGCTAGATGCATTTGAATCAATGCTCTCAGCTGTCTCAACTTTTACTCTTTTTTTTAAATCATTGTTTTGCCTCTGTTCCTCCTTCTCTCTCTCTCTCTATCTCGCTCTCCCTCCTTCTCTCCCTTCTCTTCTTCTCTCCTTCTCTCTTTCTCTTCTTCTCTCCTGTCTCTGTCTGTGCGTCTTCCTTTGAGGTAGCAGAGTTGGCAGCAGCGGCTAGCAAATGTGGCTGTGATGATGAGAGGCAAATCGAAAGCTTGATTGCTTTTAGTCCAGATGGTTTTAGTCGCTTTGTTCAAGAGAACATTGAATGCACTCGAGTCTTTGCTCACGTTCAATACTTGCTGCATTGTTGCAGGTTCTTTTGCTTCGTCGCTGTCTACTGTTGCCAAAGTGCACATTCCTTCTCCTGCCTGCGGGACTGGCCTTCTGTTCTGAGACGTTACTAAAGCTGCTTGAGAAAACCGAGCACGGACTTCAATAGAGTTTGTGCTTCTTGTGTAGTCTGGGATTGATTGAACACGGGTGAGGACGTGGGACTCGTGGCTACAGCATTGACCCGAAAGTTAGACTCCAAGGCTGGTGGGGCAAGATCTGTGGCGTAACGACTCCCCCCAAACAAAGCCCTCGTTGGAACAATCACCGAGACAACAGGGGTACTGAGTTCCTGGGTCCGTTCTTTTCGAGTTCCCGGTCTGGGCAGGTCGACGTGGTGTCAGCCTTCCATGGTCTCGTGAGCGTTTCGTTCTTCCCTCAGCCTTGGGTCGAGGCATGTCGTGGCAGCTTGACCCGCCGTGAGGTTGAAGCACTTGCAGGGCTCCACTATGTGTCCGATTCGCGACATTGCGGAGTTTTTGTATTCTTTGGTGAATTTGCCATGGCCTTAAAGGATGATGGGACATATTTTGGTGCTTCCTAGGTGTCTTGCCACTTGCTCGTATGCGTACATTACCAGTCCCCTGACCTTTCACCTAAACGCCCAGGCTTGGCACACCTAGTGCCGCGACACTCTGTGTGCGGGGCTTAGACAGTTTGCCTGACTTTTGCTATGGCCACTGTCGTTAGGCTTCTGACGCTGCTCGTGATGTCATCGTTGCAATGGCAACCTCCGCACCCAACTCAGTCAGAAGCACACGGGTTGGAAACAACAAAATATGCAAATCTAAAACATTGTCCCCCATTCTTCACCATTTGCTTCAGTGCTCTTGATGAGAAATGCCATGAAGTGCCTGCTTCAGGTTAGGCCACAGCTTCATAAGGCTAGTGCTCAAGACATTGCCAAGGTGTGGATTGGGGCAGCAAGTTGGACTCAGCTCTATCTGATAGCATTTGCCATAGGTTCATGCATCTTGCAGGATGTGCAAGGATGTTTTCCAAG